ATTTACATGTTTAGCATTAGCAAAGCTATATTTTTAGTTAGTGAATTATGAGTAAGCGACGCTAATTGTTTCGCTGGGCCCACCTCTGCAGGTTTTAAAGTTTTTAACTTCATGTTGAGCGTTTTTGAAATAAAAACAAAGAAAGAAAYGAAAACTAAACCTGAAATTCCAGAACTGGTTTCATCATTAACTATTTAAACTTGTGGATAAAASTCTTCCATGTCCTAATTAATATAAACATATTATGTTGTATGTTAATGATGGGACACTTTAAACACTTTATTGTTATTTACCATGTTATTTTAGTTGCGTTCAGAGTTTTTATGACCATGTTTGTTTCAGATAAAAAGGCTCTGTTGTGATGTGATTGATGAGTCAGAGTCACTATAAAATATAAGGGTCGTGATGGAGTCGTAAATAAGTTTGTTGAAGAACTGCGACGAGGGAAGAAAACCAAATCAAAAAATGGGATTTTATCCCTGCAATACCTAAATGTGTCCACAAATGTTTTATTTTCTTATCTATAAACTGAATAAAATGAGCACTCAAACATTTGAATGTGTTTTTATACTAAGTAATGCATGCTTGTAAAGATATCACACATTAAACAGTTATCATTTGTAACGATAATCTGTTTTATAATCTTAAATCACATTTTGTGACAACATCTTTAGCAAAAAGCTCTTTGAAAAAAATTAATGAGTTGAACTGCACTTAATACAGTTGGCTCTGTGCTGCCATCAAGAGTCAGAAAACCAGATCACAGATCAGTAACCTGCTTCAATCAGGGCTCTGCAACCTGTACGATCAAAACAGCCATTTCTGCTACTTGGCTCATTAATAAAATGTGTTCAGAGCTGCAAAACAAGCTGCAACTGTGATTATCAACTGGTGGTTAGTGGGCCTTTTCAAGGTCTTTTCAGGAAACTTTATGGCCTGTGGAGGTGACATTAAAAAACAAAAAATATATATTGTGAATTGTATTGTTTATGCAAATCAGGACAAATGAAAACACTGTATTCATGTAAACAAGAAAAATACTGTATATAGATTTTACAATGTTATAAAATCTAGTTCTGCTGAACTATTCAGGCATTTCTTTTTTATAATTATTATTATTATGTAGTGTTTAAATTCTTTTAATGTGATCTGATGGATTTAAGAGGAAGATCATAGAAAGAAGTTGAATTATTTAAGTAAGCTAACATGTTTTACTTTCTGTATTAGTAGTATTGATCACATTTGCATATAAATTTATTTCTGAGTATATATCCATCCATCCATCCATTTTCTTCCGCCTATCCGGGGTCGGGTCGCGGGGGCAGCAGCTTCAGAAGGGAGGCCCAGAC